AAACCTCTGCTGCTTAACAGGAAGGGAATGACCCACTTCTCTTGGCATCTCAGGTGCCTGGGAACCCTTTCTCAACCACACCCTGGAGCAGAGGGCTAGCTTACATCCCCGTGTTCACCTCACTACAAAAAAGAATTCTGTGTTCACCTCACTACAAAAAAGAATTCTGGAAGGAAGGTGATCTATTCCCTATGCAATCTCAGTGTCCACTGAGAAGGAAACCTTGTGGTATGGAACTATGTGGCAAAAAGGTACAAAGTATTCTTATACCTGGAATTCTTAACCTGGGGCATGCATTTTATCTAAGAGGAGAGGCTGAAGTTTCCTCCAACTTTCCGTTTTAAAAAGGAACAGACATTGCTTTCAAGTGGGTTTTTTTTGGTTTTTTTTGTTTGTTTGTTTTTTGAGACGGAGTCTCGCTCTGTCGCCCAGGCTGGAGTGCAGTGGCGTGATATTGGCTCACTGCAAGCTCCCCCTCCAGGGTTCACGCCATTCTCCTGCATCAGCCTCCCAAGTAGCTGGGACTACAGGTGACCGCCACCACGCCCGGCTAATTTTTGTATTTTTAGTAGAGATGGGGTTTCACTGTGTTAGCCAGGATGGTCTCCATTTCCTGACCTCGTGAATCGCCCGCTTTGGCCTCCCAAAGTGCTGGGATTACAGGTGTGAGCCACTGCGCCTGGCTTCAAGTGGTTTTAACTGATTTTCATTTTTAATTGGCATTTTCTTCCTATGTACAAGAGTAGAAAAATCAAACATAGTTTCTAGTTGATGTTAGTAAGTATAATCATTACTAAAAGTGGCCATTTGGGGAGTAATGCTGTAAAGAATACCTTAGACAACTACAGAAAAGGTAATTCGTTTCTCCTGCAACCCTTAAATATTATATATGAATTAATGGCAGTGATCAGTCCTTTAAGAGTAAGGCAATTTTCTGGATGTCACTATTATCTTAAAGGTCTACGGAGGAAATAATATCCTGTGACATTTCTAACTTCTTAATGGTAATTGTGGAGGCACAGAAGCCTGAGGCTGGCTGCCTATGATCAAATATGACTGTAAATATTACTCTCTTTTTTTTTTTTGAGACAGTCTTGCTCTGTTGCCCAGGCTGCAATGGTGGTGCGATCTTGGCTCACTGCAACCTCCATCTCCCAGGTTCAAGCGATTCTCCTGCCTCAGCCTCCCAAGTAGCTGGGATTACAGGTACATGCTAAAACACCCAGCTAATTTTTGTATTTTTAGTAGAGACAGTGTTTAACCAGTTTGGCCAGGCTGATCTCGAACTCCTGACCTCAGGTGATCCACTCACCTTGGCCTCCCAAAGTGCTGGGATTACAGGCGTAATCCACTTTACCTGGTCTACCCTGTTTCTTAAAACTTTCTTTTCCTTTAATTTTTTTTCTACCTAGCAGCTTTATTATTATCTCTGGGTCTCTTCTTTCTCCTATCACTAATTAAATAAGGAAAACTTTGAAGATTTCATTTTAATCTGTTTTACAGTTGATTCCCATATCTCTATTCCTTTCTAACCTGCACTTTCAGCTTCTATTTGGGTGCTTCCACTGGCATAGCTCATCAGCAACTAAAACTTTGAATCTTTAAATCTAAACTCATCTCTTTTCACTCAATAGCCAAACTTTGGACTTCTCCATTTCTCTTAATGGTAACACTATTTCCTATCATCAAAACGAAAACTGGTCACCTTTTATTTCTCCCTATTCCACACATCTACTATGTTGCATAGCCAGTCCATTTTTGCTTCAAGTTGTTCATATTCGCCTTTCCTTTCCTCTGCCATTGGTATCCTTTATCACCTCATGCCTACCTGTTACTAATTCTTGTAACTGGCATCCCTGCCTTAAGTGTTTCTCCCTTTAATTTATATGATGTAATTCTTTCTGATAATCATCTAAAAGCTTGTTAAATTTTCTAGGAAAAATAAGCCACAAAGATATGTCCATTACCTATACATTTATCTAGTTATTTAAAAACATGTATGCTTTTAGCAGGCCTATTTGATACATACATATTTAAAAATAAGTATGCTTCTGCAGGACTATTTGGTACCTGTTCCCACTTATACCAAGCTTTACACCAAAATTTAATGGAAAGACACAAAAAGGAGAATGACTGCTTATCATACTTTTTCCCCCCAGCGTTTTGAGGAAAAATCTATTAAAGGTGCCTTTTGGATTTACTTACCTTACTGGATTCGGACGAGTTTAAATTGCCTCCAACACAACGAAATTATGGGTTGTTTTAAATCCACTGTATTCCAAATAGCTCGAATTCCTTCTTAATACATACCCCTTAGTTAAAATAATTTGATTTTCCCTGAAAATGTCCAAGGGACACAAACAAATGCAGTTGAGAGAGGAAGAATTTTGCATATAGTACTTTTTCTTAAAAAGCACTTCTTTTTATGATAAAAAAACTAATTTTAAATAGTATACCTAGAAAACGTTACACATATAGTTTAGGGGCTTTTTCTTGTTCTGTAATATATTGGTACCAAATAGCAACATATTTAAATCAAATATGTTGAAGAAGGTGGAAGAAAGTGTCCCTTCTTGGCCTTTCCTTGATACATTCACTGTGTGACATAGCTTGCTATGTCTAAGTTCTTTTCCTTATTCATCCTGACAAAGAAGCAAAGTAGCTTCTGAAGGGGGGAGGGGAGGCATGGAGGGGCGAGTGGGGGCGGGGGAGAGAGAGAGGCACCATTTACTCCTAGGGCACATCGCTGAGCGTTTATTAGAAAAAATGCATGCTCATCATATGGAAAAATAATGAGCACAGAAAAAGAATAAAGTTCTCACATAAGGAGCATTAAGACTTTTTTTTTTTTTTTTTAAACACAATGGCTTTTTATAAAACGACTCAAAGGGTTTATCAATAAGGAGTTTCCGATCACTCAGAAAACATCCTCTCTCTCTCTCTCACACACACACATACTCAAACACACAAGAGCGTGCGCGATTATCAAGGCTTGAAAAGGAGTAACTAGTTAAAATAGTTGCAAAATGTTTTCTTGGTTATCCTCATCACACCTCCCCTGACAGCTTTATTTCTTCTCTCAAACATAAATTTCCTCCTTATGTTTTTCTCGATGCAATTTCCTACTGTAATCTGAATTTTCTGGGAAGATAATCGCCACAAGAGTGGATACAGCTCTACTAAAAGGATAAGCGGGCAATCTATTTTTTTTTTTTTTTTTTAAACAAAGACCGATGGACTCCGCCAAAGGGGAGTCTGGACGGTTTATGGGAATGCAGAGCTGGGTGGAAAGTCTTTCTGCGAGTGGGAAGTATCTCTTCTCCTCGTTTGTCCAGGTTTTCCCCATGCCTCGAGCTGCGGCCAGCTTTGGCTCGCTTCCCTGTCTTTGCAACCTGGTTCCTGACTCTGCCAAATCATATTACAGATGGGCCTGCGGGTGCTGCACCGGGGTGACAGCAGTCCTGAGGGGCCGTGCAATTCTGTAGTGGATCCAAGTCGGTACACGGATACACAGATACCTTTGACTGCCTCTCGCAGGACATGGATTTTTCCTGTTTTTTTTTTTGGTGCGGCATCCGGCTGGTTCTGACACACTAAGACTGTTCCTCTGCTCCTCCTCTCCCGCAAGGCTTCCAATCCAGGGCCCAAGTCCCCCTTTCGCTAGCACTCGCGCACCCCTAGCGCTTCCTCCCTCCCGGGAACCCTCGCATTTCCTCCTTCCCCTCCCTGCCTTGCCTTCTTCCCCGCCCGCCTCCAGCCACATGACAGGAAGGGCTCCGCCACGCGACGTCACCGACGTCCGCGCCCCCGCCCCTGGTCTTCCCCCCACCCTGCACGCATGGGACGGCCGGCTGAGGGGCGAACGTGGTCCGCGCGCGCAGCGTTCCCCAACCAGAGCTTGCCAGAGCGCCGAGCGGGGCGCGCGGGTTCCCGGATGTGCGGCGCTCGCGGAAGCCCCGCCCCCGCCGCCGGCCCGCGCGCGCCCCCGCCTCCGCCCCGCGCGCTGCAGCGCTCCGCTCTCCCCTCCCTCTCCACCCTCCCCTTTTTCGTGCCTTGAGGTTGCGGGTCAGCGCGAGCCACTGCAGTGAGTCCGTCACGGCTCCGGCGCGAGCGCGAGGCTGCAGCCCCCGAGTCTCCTGGCCCTCTTCGCCCCTTCTCCCCCTCCTTTCTTCCTCTCTGCCTCTCCTGCTTCTCGTCGCTGCTCCTCCAGCGCTCTCCGGCTCTGAATCTCGACCTTAATTTATTTCCCTCTGCCCTGCCCGCTCCGTCGCGTGTCCAATCACCCGGCCGGCGCGGGCCCCGCGGCGCCGCCTCCCCTCCCCCACGCGCGCCCCCTCCCCGCCGGCGACCCGAGGGCCGCAGCTGGGCCGCCGCCGCCGCTTCCTGCGAGCCCGCCTGAGCGCGACACTTCTCCAAGCCAGCGAGCCGCCGACCCGCCGAGCAAAATGGTGAGACCTTGGCTTCCTCGATGCACCATCCCTCCCCCTACTGCCGCCGTCCGGGTCGGGTGCGGGGGCGAGCCCCTACGCCCCTGGTCGGCTGTCCCCCGTGGAAAATTCCAGAGACCCAGGCCCGGCGGGTCCCGCGGCGGTTGCGGGTTAGCCCGCGAGGGCGGCAGGGCGGCGGGGCGGCTGTTGACAGGACGGCGGCGGGTCCCCCGCGCCCGCCCCCGGCCTCTGCGGGGCGCCCCTCCGCCGCCCGGCCGCCGCCCCTCCGTCGCCCCACCCCCGCGGCGCCGTTCCCGCCGGGCATCGACCCCCGCCGGCACCCCCGGCCATCATCCCGGCGCGCTCCCCTTCTCGCGACCCTCCTCCACGTGGAGCCCCCCCCCACGCTCACTCTGTTTTTCAAGTTCGAGGGTATTCTGAAATCCTATGAGAATAACAATATGTGGCAAATGGCGCTTTACATAAGACCCACTTTCTCTCCAGAGCTGCTGCTTCTCCCACTCACTCCCTAGTTCCCAGCAGAGAGTCTTGGCAGGGAACCCTGCCACTCACTTCTCCTCTCCTGCGAGCGTCGGTTTAGCTGCCGTGCGCAGCCTTGCGGGGTTTCCTTTCGTTGCTGCTTTCCTCGCTGCCCTGGCGAACCGGAAAGATCCAAGGTGTTCACGAAAACATACGCGAACTTGGTCTGAGAGAAATGGGGACGCTTACTTTTTCGTGCTTTCCTTACTACCAAGGGTTTTTTCATTTTCTTTGCTACCTTCGTGTGTCTCTCTCGGAGTGGTTGTTTTTGAATCATGGCGATTTAAATTTGTCTTTCCTTACCCTCACATTAATCCCTAGGTAGAATTCGCTGCTGTAGTGTTTCAGACCGACGCTAGGGGTGTGTCTCCCGTCTCTGTCGCTGTAGCCAAGAAATCAACGACGCCCTTTTAGCCTGTTACCTTACCGGTTCTCTCGCTCGGGGAAGCCCTTGTCGTTAGCTTCCTCTTTGTAATCAAGAGTTGTATACACAGTAGGGAAAGTTCAGAGTGCTATTCCGTGTATATCAGATACTCCATCGTGTGATTCAGTTGTTAGACTTTCTCTAAAAGTCTTTGAACAGTTGTCAGAAGACTTAAACTGGTTGACTTCTTGCATCTCTCCACTGTGTGGTATCCCACCCTGTATGTAGAATTTAAGTGCTTCAGTATATGTGGTGAATTACTGAAGGGAGAAATGCTGTTGCTTACAACTTAAAATCGATTTGGTGGTGATAGGGAAGAAAATGAAAGTAGAATGTTCAGGTAATTCAGCTTTTATTTAAAATATAGGGCAAATGAGTAAGTGCTCACTGGTGCACTTAAAACCCAGATTGAAGCAGACTTAAATGATTGCCGATTTTGATGTGTAGAGAAAGTTTTCCCCTGCCAACTTTCGAGGCAGCTCTGAGAGGCAACTTCGGCACCTGAAAGTCACAAAACACTTTAGGAAGATCATAGCCATTCATCGTATAATCTTTTTGTTGGCATAGTCTTTTGAAGTGAAAAATTACATTTCAGTGCTTTAATAGAATTTCCTGATGCACATACTTTACTTGAAGGTCAGAATCTTGAAGATCTTTGTTCATTGCAGGGAATGTTTTTACTTAGGTTTATAAACAACACATTTGAGGAACAATGATCTAGCCTTTTGTTGTTTATGTATTATGTAGCGAAGTGATATGGTTTCCAAATAGTAACTCTCCTGCAGTGCACCCCTTCCTCTGTTTTTTGAACGACAGACTGAATTTGGGAAATTCTCCTTTAGCTCTTAAATTTCTTATTTTCCTGTTACTCTGTTTTCTTGTCTTTTAAAATATTTTACGATGTATCAAACGATATTGTTTCCTGCCAGGTCAATATGTTCCTTTTCTTAACAGCTCCCTTTTCAGTGTTTATTTCCTAATTCAACTGTTGGTTTTTTCTTTTTTTTTTTCCCCCCCTCTTTCGTCCTCCCAATACCATTTCAGAACCTACGTAATGTTGGCAGTGGCTTTCCAACTTTAGGGTTATTTTGGTCTGTTGAATACAGTACTGGTTTGAAAGTATCAAGACCATACTCGTAACTCAACTTTGCCATATGGGATGTCGATTAACCCAAGTAAATCAGGCTTTGGAATGATCTGGTTAATTTTTCTGGTTAATTGAACATGCAATTCTGAAAACTTTCACACTCTTTGGAAAAATCTGTTAGAATTCTTACTATTATTTACATTTTGTCAACAGCATTTACAGTATTTATGAAATATCACTAGTTAATTTAAGTATGAAGAAAGTAAAAAGGCTTATAAGATTTAATTGAACTCTCAAGGATCTTTTCTGACAGGTATTTAGTTGGTGCCTTAAAAGCAGTTTATTTCTTTTGTTTTCTGAAAGTTAAAGTCTTTCCCTCCCTTCACCCTTGAGTTTTAAATTGTTAAGCGTCCAGGGAGAATGAAGGTTATATGTTAAAAAAAAAAAATTCTGTAAATACTGACCTAGGAATTTCTGCTGAACCAGGTGTTTTATATCCGTTTTTGTTGAAATAGATAATACGGATTTTGTTCTAGATACTTATATGAACGTAATATAAAGGTAGTTGTTTTACGTTTTGTTTCTTAAGAGAGCTTTAAATTTTATAAAGACCTTTTCATGTCTTTGTGCTTTTAAAGTTTTTTTCATCTCCATGATCTGCACCTAGAACTTAAAACAAATTTATTGCCGTCTATAACTGTATGTAGAGTTTTACACAACATATTCTAGTTCAGATTCTGTGGCAAAGACCACTTTTTAGGAAAAAACCTGTCTTATGACCAGCGGAATTAAAATTCACATCTGTCCTGAGAAAATTTGTCCACTCATTTTGTCCCATAGTGAATGAGAAAATTAAAATGGCTCAAGGTATAAGGTAAAGAAACTGACTAAGGGTCAGTCAGCAATGAGAGGGACAGACAAGTATGGAAGGATCAGGCAACTGTTATAGGTAGCAAGGCAGTATAAGGAAGTCACCTTGGGCCAGGAGGATTAAGTCAGACCATGGTCCCGGACTCTGGGGCAAGCTACAGGGATTCGTTTCTATCAACAAATACTTGCAGATTTTGTCTGCTGTTTACTGGTTATTGTGTTCTCTGTTGTGGAGGATATTGCAATGATTAAGGCAGGTTTCCTACCTTCATTTAAGTAGAGAATGTAAGACAATGCCAGTAACTGTGAAGTAAGTTAGCGTATGATGAGTGTCATATGAATAGTACACACAAAGCATGATAGAAATTTAGGAAGGAGCAAGATCATTTTCACCTGGGATTAGGACAAGTTTTATGAAGGAGGTGACAATTGAGCTAGCTGAGTCTAAAAAGATTAGGGTTGCAGTAGGCAGAGTTGCAGGCATCTAGAAGAAGGCACTTTGAATCCTAAAGGTAGGAAGAGACAATGTACATTTGGAGCATTGATTCCTAAAAAATGGTTTCCAAACCAACAACAGCAGCATCATTTGGAAACTTGTCAGGCCCCACCCTGGAACAACTGAATCCAAAATTCTGGAGATGAGCCAACAGTCGTAAGTTTTATAGGTCTTCCAGATGATTGTGGTGTGGGCTGAATTTTGAGAACCACTGTTTAGAGAATAGGAAGGAATGTGTTTATTTAAAGTTTAGTCAAATGTCTCTTAATATACCTAGCACTAACTATATGTACATAAGACATGATTGTTATCTCCAAGGAAATTAATCAAGTAGGGTAAATAAGACAGTGATTATGCAGTGTGCTGTGTGCTATTAAACTAAACATGGGATGCTGTAAGAGTACATGGGAAGAGGCTTAATCCACACTGGGGATGAATGTCACTTAAAGCTTCCTGGAAGAGAAGGTGTCTGAACTGAGTCTTTTGAGTATTTAGCCAGTGAGGAAGGGCACATCACATAGAGAGCTTCTGTTAGAAGTCATGGAAGCATGAGCTATACAAGCTATCCAGAGAACTAAAGTATTAGTTTAGCGTGGCTGGAGAGGAAGGGGGTAGTGTCTGGTGGTTTGACACTAGATCATAGAGGGATTTGCATATCATGAAGGAGTTAACCTTTTCTTTGGATTATGGGGAAGAAAAGAGGTGGTGAATTCTGCTTTGGTTTCTGGCTTTGGATAATGCTATCCACCTAGCAAATATTTATTGAGCATCTATTTGGTTAAGGTTAGGTTTTAGGAATACATGGGAAATACTGTTCCTGTCCTCGAGAAACTTCCAGTTTGCTGGGATGACTATTGTTTCATCTCTAGTCTTCTATTATTTGGTAGTTAGTGCTTGGGATGCTATGTTGCAAGATTCCAAGTTCAATAGGATAGAGTGCTGTGAAATATTGACAATGCCTGCTACGTACATATCATGGCCTAGGAGATAGCAGAAAGTACTTGATAGCCTGGAAGTAGAAGGAGGCACATGTGTTTGAACAGTGATTCTCAAGAAGTGGATCCTGGACTAGCAGCATCAGTATCATCTGGGAGCTTGTTAGAAATGCATATTTTCCTAGGAGATATAGGAGAAGGCTTTGGGGGAGTGATGAGGATTTTTATTTTTGCACATGCTGAATTTAAAGGAAACATGGGTTGGCTAGGCACAGTGGCTCATCCCTACAATCCAAGCACTTTGGGAGTCTGAGGCAGGTGAATCTTGGGCTCAGGAGTTCCAGACCAGCCTGGGCAACATGGTGAAAGCCCATCTGGACAAAAATACAAAGTTAGGCGGGCAAAGTAGCACACGCCTGTAGTTCCAGCTACCCAGGAGGCAGAGGTGGGAGGATAGCTTGAGCTTGGGAGGGAGAGGTTGTGGTGAGCCAAGATTGCGTGACTGCGCTGCAGCCTGGGTGACAGAGCAAGACTGTCTTGGGGGGCAGGGGGTGGGGAGGGAATATTAATCTTGGGTTATCTAGGTGATTATGGACAACAGGTAATTGGCTGTCTGTATCTTGTGCTCAGAAGAGACATCTGGGGCTTGCAATAAAGATTTGAGCATTGTCTGTGCATTTATGTTAGGTAGTACTTGAAGCCATGAAACTGGATGAAATACTGTGTAGAGAGAATATGAAACGAGAAGTGAAGAGAGTAAACTCGAAAGATGGTACACGTAAAAATGCAGGTAGAGGACGAGGAACCTGTGAAGTTTGTCATTGAATAGCCTATGAGAGAGTTGGGAAATGAGCAGCATGATGCCAGATTGAAGGGAGTTTTAAGGAGGAAGGAGTCAGCAGTGAATAAATACTGCAGAGATCAAGAAAGATAACGTAAAGATATCTTTTGGAGATAACAGGAGGGTTTTGATGACTTGGGCAACAGTAGTTTGTTGTAATGGTGGCAAGGGAAGCCTGGATGTAGTGAGACATTGAATTTAGATTGCTCTTTAAAACTTCGAGTAGCAGAGAGGATGAAAGCTAGAGAATTTAGTGTTGAGGAAGGATTTATCTTGGGATTGAAAGAAAAAGAGCCGGCCACGGTGACTCACTCCTGTAATCTCAGCACTTTGGGAGGCTGAGGTGGGCGGATCACGAGGTTGGGAGTTAGAGACCAGCCTGACCAACATGGTGAAACTCCGTCTCTACTAAAAATAGAAAAATTAGTCGGGTTTGGTGGTGCGCGCCTGTAATCCCAGCTACTTAGGAGGCTGAGGCAGGAGAACCACTTGAACCCAGGAGGCGGAGGTTGCAGTGAGCTGAGATCGTGCTAGCGCACTCCAGCCTGGACGACAGAGCGAGACTCCGTCTCAAAAAAAAAAAAAAAAAAAAAGAAAGAAAACGTCAGTAAAACGGGAGAGATTATCTTTTGCATCTTTTCAAAGAGAAAAGACAGGATTATTGACAACTTAATGTCTCCGAGGGGGTAGAAGGGAGTATATGACTCTCCTTAGACAAGAAGGGGAATTTTTCTCATCCTTTTAACATGAAAAGGAAGGAGAAAAAGATGAAAACTATTATGTAGGTTATATAAGAGTTTAGACTGGAAAGGAAATCATGTGTTAAGTTGTAAATGGTTTAACCGTGAGTTCAGTTTGGTCCCACTGGGGAACCATTGATTAATCTGGAAATAAGATGCTGGGTGACTTGGAAAGGGTGGAAACTAGATGAGGTGAGTTCCACAAAGGAATACTGCTTTGTAGTATTACAAATATGAAGTTATGAGGATTTGAAAGCAAATAAAAATGGAGGCATTTTAAATGCAGAGTTGAAAAGAGTTAGAAACTGATAATGAGGAAACAGTCATGAAGGATGACCTAACCTAGTGATTAGATATAAAGATAGCACACTACAAATAAAACCAGGAAAGTAGGAGTGAGTTGCTGGTTAGAAGTAGTGTTAGAAGAAGGTGAGCTTGGTTTTAGATAGATAGGCTTGAGACATTATACTGTAATTATTTAACAAATGTGATAATGTACTTGGAAAATAAACAGAATAATTTTTTTTTTCTTTTTGGAGACAGGATCTTGCTATTTTGCCCAGGCTGGAGTGCAGTGTGCGATCTCAGCTCATTGCAGCCTTCACCTCCCAGGCTTAAGCCATCCTCCCACCTCAGCCTCCCAGGTAGCTGAGACTACAGGTGCACACCACCACAGCCAGCTAATTTTTGTATTTTTTGTAGAGACAGGGTCTTGCCATGTTGCCCAGGCTGGTCTCAAACTCCTGAGCTCAAGCAGTCTGACCACCTCAGCCTCCCAAAGTGCTGGGATTACAGGCGTGAACCACCAGGCCTGGCCTGGAAGTAAAATATTTGAGTCAGGGTTATAGCTGTTTGGATGTAAAGATGAAGATTAAAAAAAAACTGATGGACTTGGTCATTAGAGGAATATTGATAATTTTTAAGACTAACTTCAGTCATGTCCTAGGTGACAAACAAGATTGCAGGGGAATGTAAACTCCGTGAATGCAGAAGCCTTGTCTTTGTCTTTTCATTCTTATATTCCAAATACTTGGTATATAGTAGATGTTAAGTACTCTTTGAAGGAGGAGTATGTGAAGTGGACTAAGGAAACAGGTGCTCATTGGACATTGAAGGCAATGAGTGTCAGTTCCTTTTTTTTTTTTTTGAGACATTTATGAAAGACAAAGGATAATTAACTTCAGTGGTTTACAGTTGGAGTAAGTTCTTTTTTGATAAGGGAAAGATGTGGATATTCTTGAGAATTAGAAAAGCCAGGAGAGGGAGCTATAAGAGTGTAATTAATGGAATGAGCTCTAGAAAAGTTAGAAAGAAGAGGGTAAAAGGAAAGGATAGACATTAAAAGAGAGAGAAAAAATCAGAATAAAGAGAAATAGACCATGGCAACAGATAGGTTTTAATAATGGAGTTCATACCAGGTGGCCTAAATCGTCTTAGTATCTCGGGATAATTTGAGGCAAGTTAATTTGCTGAGGTTGACATTGAGGCTGAGGGAACTGGGGTGATTTTGAGGGGTGAGGGCTGTGGAAGAGGATTGTGTTATCCAGTTTGGGGGATTGTTAGGCAGTTAACAAAGAGTAAATAAATATAACTAAATAGTAGCTAGGACTTAGGAGAAGGCAACAGTGGGTCAGTGACCTAGGAAATAAATCTAGAAAACAGGGGTTTTAACCAAAAAAGAGCTTAATACTTGGGCAGTCTTTGCTTTAGTAACTTATTTAGTAACTTATTAGTAAGATTTATTTGTTCTTCTGATCAATTTACATAGGTCTGAAAGGAATCATTTTTTGAGTTCAGCTTTTATGGAAGGGGAAACATGCAGTTTTAGATCCGTATTTTAATTTTTTTCCTAAAGTTCTAAAGACACTATATTAATATAGTCACTTAAAAATTCAAATAATATTGAAAGATTTAAAATGGAAAGTAAGTCTTCCCTGGCCACTCCTCCCCCAATATTAAGATCTTGTTTATATATTCTTTGAAGAGTTTTTTGTGTGAGGTTTTTTCCTTTTTTTTTTTTCCGCCTGTGGCAACATATGGATTTTAATTTAGTTCTTATTTAAAAGATTGATTGTAAAAGAGCTTTAATGAAATGCTACTTATTATAAACTATGAGTAAACTCATAGTTTACTCATTACAGTCAGTTTGTATTACAAAGTTTTTAATGGTATTTGAAATGTAAACAATGAGTCAGAAACAATTGATAATTCTAATTAGGTAGCAATTTTATAATGATAGAGGTTGTTACTTTAACGAGGGTCTGAACTATGACCATGTTCTTAAGAAATTACTCTGGGGAAAATAACATTTTACTAGAACCTTTTTTTGTACTTATTTCTACCTAATATCTTATTACACATTACATGGATAACAAATTCTTAAAAGAGAAAATGACCTCTGAAGTGTAATGGATAAAGCATCTTTTTTAACTCAAGCCTGATTAAAATTTATTCCTCGTTTTTACCTTTCCAAATAAGCCTTTTCTCCAGTAGGCCTCATCTATTCTTCCCTTTCTGAATTTTCTCCATAGACTCCCGTATGTCCTCAGTGTTTGTGAGTTGACGGTATAATTCTGACTAATTTATAGGTCTGGTTCAGGAATAAAATTTTGATAAATGTGATCCTGGATTTGTCTTTGGATTTTATAGTCTTGTACTATGAAATATTTTAAATGTTTGAAGATTTCTGTAGGAAATCTTTTGAAGTTTAGCACTAATAATTTAAACAATTCATAGATTCCTATACTTTTCTTCCTCATAGAGTTTTGTTTTGTTTTTTAAACATTTCTTGTAAGTAATGAAAAGAGGGCCACATTGGTAGCCCTGTTGGTATCCCCAAAAAACATTCCGGTAGATGAGATGTCACACTGACTTGTTTTTGTGGTGTTAGTAAAATCACTGGTGCGTTGGCCAGTTCTTTAAACACAGAGTATTCATTTTTATTTTTATGTTAGAATTAGGTATGCATTTTAAAACCTAGTTACAATAGAATGAAGCATAGCAGCCTACAGAAAGGATGTTACCCTTGGCCCTTACTAGCACTGTCCACTAGTACTTTATTTTTAATCTGTCTAGATTCAGGGATGCTTTTCTTTCATATCCTTCAGAGTGTAATGCCATAAGCAAGTCCCTATTTTAGGCATGCAATAGGTTGGCATTGTCTAGTATATCTTGTAAGGCAATCTTTTATAAAAATTGGAATCTCTGGAAGAACACGTGATAATGGGTAATAAGAGAAATCTGTACTTACATATTTGTTCCTGGTGTACCTATGTTCCCTAACAAATAGAATTTCATGAATTATAAATTACTAACATACTCTTTCTCAAGTAAAGAGTGAGCTTATAAACAGTGGAATACTTCAGCTCTGTCTCGCTCTCTGGCAGTCGCACTGCTTTTACCTTGCTTCTGGACTGTTAACATCTGTTCGTACATTTCTTGTTTTTCTTTTTCTTGCTTTTTTTTTTTTTTTTTTGAGATGGAGTCTCGCTCTGTTGTCTAGGCTGGAGGGCAGTGGCACAATCTTGGCTCAGTGCAACATCAGCCTCCCAGGTTCAAGCGATTCCTCTGCCTCAGCCTCTGAGTAGCTGGGGTTACAGGCGTGTGCCACCACACCTGGCTAATTTTTGTATTTTTAGTAGAGACGGGTTTTCACCATGTTGGTCAGGCTAGTCTCAAACTCCTGACCTCATGATCTGCCTGCCTCAGTCTCCCAAATTGCTGGGATTACAGGCGTGAGCCACCGCGCCCGGCACATTTCTTGTTTTTCAGTCCACCACAGTTCAGTGATGTTTAATTCAGAAGACCCTAGTTATATTGGTGGTTTAAATTTTAAAGTTAATTAAAGTTAAGTAAAAGTATAAATTCAGTTCTTCATTCACAGTATCTACAAGTACACAATAGCTACATTTAGCTAGTGGCTACTGTGTCAGTGTAGATAAAGAACATATCCATTGTGGCAGAAATTTCCATTAGATACTGCTTGTCTACAATGATTTGGCACCTGCATGTCAATGAAACTTACTTCCATTAGTAGTAATCTTTTTTTTTTTTTTTGGAGATGGAGTCTTACTCTGTGGGCCAGGCTGGAGTGCAGTGGCACAATCTTGGTTCACTGTAACCTCCGACTTCTGTGTTCATGTGATTCTTCTGCTTCAGCCTCTTTGCTGGGATTACAGGCATGTGCCATCATGCCTGGCTAATTTTTGTATTTTTAGTAGAGACAGGGTTTCACCGTGTTGGTCAGGCTAGTCTGGAGCTCCTGACCTCGTAATCTGCCTGCCTCAGCCTCGCAAAGTGCTGGGATTGTAGGCATGAGCCACTGTGCCCAGCCACATTGTCAGTAATCTTCTAATTACCAGCATGAGATTTGGAGTTGGGAAGATCTGAATTTAGATTCTGGCTCTGCCATTTATTAGCAATGTGACCTTGAACAAATATCATAAGCTCTCTAGACCTTATTTAGTGCAGTACATATGTATCAAAAGTGGGAATGACAACGCCTTAAATTGTGGTGACAGTATACAGTTGGCCTTCCCTACCCATAAGTTCTGGATCCATGGATTGAAAATATTTGGAAAAAAAAAATAATGAAAAATAATACAAATAAAAATTTAATATAAATACTATTTACATTGTATTAGATATTGCAAATAATCCAGAGGTGATTTAAAGTATACAGGAGGATGTGCATAGGTTACATTCAAATACTATGCCATTTTATATCAGGAACTTGAGCATCTGTGGAGTTTGGTTTCTAAGGGGTGGGGGTGGGGAAGTGGGACCAGTTCCCAGTGGATACTGAGGGACCACTGTAGAGTGTCTGGAGATCCCATAGGAATTCATTAAATGCATTTGGTTTAACGTTTTTCTGCTTTGTAATGTTGGACCTTGTTGGGAACTCTTGAAATTCTCCTCTTTTGGCTTCTGTGACCTTTTCTACTGTTGCTAGTTGCTATTTCTACCTCTCTGACCATTTTTAGTCTGTTGCCAGCTTTTGATCTAGGTTTGGTCCAAGACTCTCTCATATATGTTTGTATTACTTTCCCGTTTAAAATTCTGGCATTATAAAGACTAAAATCTTTAATGTAGCCTATAAGACTCCATAAATTCTACATCTGCTTACTTCTGTCTCTTCCACCATGTTCCTACTTGTTTTCTATGCTCTAGCCACTTGGCCTCGTGTCATTTGACCCAGTATTGTTTGCTATGTTTATTCCACCATCCGAACCTTTGTGTATGCTACAGGAATGCCTCAAAAGTCCCTCAGTTAAGTGGGAGCCACACACTCCAGAGCAGGTCGGGTCATGTTCTATGTTATACTCTTTTAGTACCTTTAATGTTTCCGTTGTAGCACATAATTGATTAGTTTTGAGGTATTTGGTCGCTTTCTGTCTCCGCATGATTTAATGTGAACTCTGTGAGAATGTGCAGCTTGTCTGTCTTGTTTTTCATCTGTTAAAAGGAAACAATCTTTATACAAGTTCAATTTAGCAGAGTCTGAGAAAGAAAAATCTGTGTATGGGATAGCTCTGAGAATCAGAACAGATCTAAGAACTCCAACCAGCAACA